CCACCTAGCAGGAGCTACAGAGTGATCTGAAGATTGCTGCTACTTGTGTTGGGGTTGGAAGTGCTCAGCTGTAAAGCAAGGCATGCTGCTGCAAGAGCCAGTCCTTTGGACTCTTATTGATAGGAATGGGGCAGCTGATGCTTGTTTGAGAGATTTTAGGAAAGTCTGAAGTCTGAGGCAGGACAGGCCATTCAAATGGAAAAGCCACTGCAAACAGCTTGGGTTGGGCTACAAATTGGATGGGGCAGGGTCTCAGGGAATCACCAAGGTGGAGTGAACAGTGTGAGCCAGGCTGATGGAAACTCAGATATGGCTTCCAGTTAGCTCTGTGAAGGTGGAGGTCCAGCACAGGAACAATGGCCCCTGTGAGCACCCCTGTCTGGGAGAAAGCCACTCCCGAAGTTCTTGCCCTGATGCCAGACAATCCAGTTCCTCCCCATATGTACCTGGATCCCCCAAAGTTACTGCCCCAGTGCTTTAGCTCAGAGGGAGCTAGTCTGTGTAAGTGCATGCCCCTGCCCTTTAAGAGGAACTTCTGGGACTCCAGCAGCCTGTGACACTCAGCCACAATTGCCACTGGTTTTTACAGCCTGAAGTTATGGGGACTTCTCCTCCCAGTACTGGCAGCCTGTGCTGAGTGGTCTGGTGTGGGGCTGGGACCCCTTGCTCCTCATGGGAGGCCTCTACAGGTGGGTGTCTGGACCAGCCCATTCTGTGCCTCCTACCAGTGTTGATGTGATTTCTTCTTTACTTCTCTAGTTGTAGGACTTCCATTCAGCCAGATCTCGGGTGGTTTTGCATGATGGCTATCATGTATTTTAATTATAATTTTGATGTGGTTATGGGAGGGAGTGAGTACCTTGTTTATCTAAACTGCCATCTTGGTTCTCTCTTCCTATTTTTAAAAATTTTTTTAAATGAATTAATGGAGTGACATCCTATATAATAAAAGCATAATATACTAAGTGTCCAGTTGTCCATTCAACCAATCAAAGTGTGATATGCTAAGGCCACTCAACTGCTTGCTATGATGTGCACTGACCACCAGGGGGTATACAGTCGACCGGTCGACCAGTTGCTATGGCGTGCACTGACCACCAGGGGGCAGACACTTTGACCTGTAGGTTAGCTTGCTGTTGGGGTCCAGCCGATTGGGACTGAGTGAGATGGGCCGGACATGCCCTGGACCCCTCCCGTGGTCCCTCCCTGACTGACCAACATCCCACGTTCCTCCCTGGCCCCAATCATGCACCAGTGGGGTCCCTCAGCTTGGCCTGGCCCTCTCGCAACCCAGGACCCCTCAGGGGATGTCAGAGAGCCGGTTTCAGGCCCATCCTGCAGGCCAGGCGAGGGACCCCACTGGTGCACGAATTTGTGCACTGGGCCTCTAGTTGATTAATAAAATTATATAGGTGTATAATTCAAGTGTATAATTCTTTATAATACATCATCTGTACATTGTATTTTATACTTGCCACCCCAAGTGAAGTCTCTTTCCATCATCATTTATCCCCCTTCACCTTCTTATACCTTCCCCACCCCCTTCCCCTCTGGTAATCACCATACTGTTGTCTGTGTCTATGAGTTTTTTGTTTTATTTTGTTTTTTAATCCTCATTTGAGGATATTTTTTCTATTGATTTTTAGAGAGAGTGGAAGGAAGGGTGAGAGACAGAGAGAGAGAGAGAAGCATTGATGTGAGAGAGAGACATCAATTGTTTGCCTCTCACATGTGCCCAGACTGGGACCAAGATGGAGCATTTAGCCCAAGTACATGCCCTTGACTGGAATTGGACCTGCAACCCTTCAGTCCATGGGCTGACACTCCAACTGCTGAGCCAAAGTGGGCAAGTTTTTTTTTTCTTAATCCCTTCACCTTTGCACCCAGCCCTCCAACACCCCTCCCCTCTGAGAGATTTCAATCTGTTCTTTTTAGCACCACTGAATTATTTTAAAATTATGTAAAAAGTCTAAAACCTATGAATTGGGACTCATGATGAATAAGGAATAAAACAATTTAGTAGGATTATTATTTATCTTAGATATATTAATAGAAATCAGTATAATAATGACTATTTGGGATGGAAAGGAAAAAGCCAAGTAGAAATTTAAACTAACTGGGATGGGGTGAAGGCAATGAAGAAGATATTGTGCAAGTCAGCAAACCTGAAATGGGGGCAAATGGATAAACTATTACAAAGAGAAATATATGCTAAATAGAAAATAAGATGGTAGGAATAAAACATTATGCCCATTGTCATAATAATGTACATAGGCTGAGTTTCATTATCAAAAGTCATTGCCAGATTTTGTTTAAAAATGTCCATCTGTAAGTTAACTGTGAAAATATACATTAAAACAAAGGAACTAAGATAGTAAAGATGAGGAGATGAGAAAAGATACACTGGAGAGATTCAAAGCATGAGGAGGAGATATGATAATATGAGTATCAAATAAAGTAGAATTCAGGGCCCAAAACTGTTTTGGGGGATTAGGGCTAACAAAGCAGTTGGGATCTTAGGAGTGAAGATTCTGGAGTGAAGGAAAGAGTGAAATAGTACAGTAATAGTGTGAGCTGCCTTTCCTTCAAGGTATTTACTACTTTGTTACAGGGACAAACTGAGAGGACGAGTAGCTCAAGATTTAGCAGCAACTTACAGTGTTGAAGAGACAAACTTGGAGTTCAGAGCTCTTCAAAATGGAGAACATTGAGGTTTTCATCTGAGGTCATGAAGAGAATATACCCTAGGTATAAGGGTAAACTGCAAACAGACCAATGTTTACAAAACCCAGCCTAAAAGAAACTCAGTCCCTGACTGAATTGAGGGTACCAATTCTAACTACCTGCTAAAGCTAAAGGACTACTCTCTCAAGAAAGAGAACATCAAAAGAGTATCCACAATTTTTTTACAAAGTGTTCAATACTCAATTAAAAAAATTATCAGGCATACTAACTGACAGAACCAAGAGGAAAATGACCCTAGAGAATAGCAATCTTCAGGTTACTCAGATATCCAAATAACAGTGATTAATATTTAAGAAAATAGATGAAAACATAAAGAATTATTCCAGAGAACTGGAATAAAAGGCTAATATGCAAATAGACCAATCAGCAGAATGGTCTATTTGCATATTAGCCTTTTATTATATAGGAATGACCAGTCCCTATGACATGCACTGACCACCAGGGGGCAGACGCTCAATGCAGGAACTGCCCCCTGGTGGTCAGTGCACTCCCACATGGGGAGCACTGCTCAGCCAAAAACCCTGAGCCAGTCTCGCGGCTGGTGAGTGCAGCAGCAGTGGCGGGAGCCTCTCCTGCCTCCGTGGCAGCACTAAGGATGTCCGACTGATGGATGTCCTGGACTGCGAGAGGGTGCAGGCGGGGCTGAGGGATCCCCCCTCCCCGAGTGCACAACTGTTATGCACTGGGCCTATAGTCTATAAAAATAACTGGGAATTCTAAAACTAATTGCAACTTCCTCTTTGATGGTCTGTCTCAGTGGTCCTCAACCCTGGCTGTACCTTAGAATCACCAGGTTCTACTATGGACCCATTATGCTCCCCAGGGGTTCTTATGTGCAGCTAGGATTGAGTACCACTCCTACTAGAATGAGTCCAAGATTGCACAGGCTCAGAAACCACAAAAAGTTTTTGGCAGCAAGAACTAGTTCCTCAGTAAGGAGAGACATTCATCAGTAAAAGCAAGGCTTGGTGCTGGAAGTTTAGCCCTGCTGCTCCTTGCAAGCCACAAAACCACTCTCCATTTAGCTTCCCTAATCTATCAAAAATGTACAGCAAGATCTTTGATTTTGTCTCCTTCAGATCATAATGTGAAGTTTAAAATGGAAAAGGGATAAGACTTTTTCAAATTTTGAAAATCATACCAATGTAATTTGTGAGTATTCTCATCATAATAAAAAAAACACCTTTGCCCTGTTAAGGTAGGCCTTGCACAAGTCATTTCATTTTTTGCACTCCAATTTTCTCACCTATAGAGTGGAGCTCCTACTCTGCAGATTATACCTTAAGTAGCAAGGCAAACAACAGGAACTGAAACACAAGGTATTATATTGTTTGCTTATTATACATTTGCATTTTTTATTATAAGGCGGTGGATAGACTCATGCTAGTCCTTGATGTCAAGCCTGCCACCATATGCCATGTCTCTCATGTTAGTAGATACTGACACCCAGGTGGCATAGCAGGTACGGCATTTCTGCCTGCAAAGCTTTGTGACTTCAAAACAAATCCCGGGGAATTTTTGGTTACTGACTAAGCCTGTTGAGGTGACAAGTGCAATTGGCTTAGCTGCCTGGGAGCTGCCCCTTTAGCTTCCATTACCTGAGCTTTCAAGATTGTTAGGTGTGTGAACGATCAATGCTGGCTATAGGTGAATGTGTGTAATCAACCTCAGTGAAGCAGGTTGAAATCCTCTGGTGTGAGGTGTCATAAAAGGAGGAAGGTGTTGCAAAGGCACTGGGCAGGCTAAAATGCCTGCCCCATGAGCAAGTTCTGCCACCTTCTTTTGTTCTCACCTTCTCCCTCTGAGTTCAGTACCAGGCACCTTTCCTAGCTCCCCTTCCGAAGTTGTGTATTCTCCAGTTTGGAGCTCTGTATTCTTATACTGACCACAAGTCCAGTGATTATAAATGTTGAAGTCTCTGGGAAACTCAAGAGTTACCATAGTGAATTTGGAAGCATGAGATGGGGAATATGTTTTGGAAGGTGTCTAGTCACAGTTATTCCTAATTTGGACTCTATTGGTATATACATTCTTATCTGTGCAAAGCAATATAAAATTTATGTTGTCAACCAGTGATGTGAATGGGTTTTTTCTTTCCTATAGCAAATCTTATCATTACTATGTTGCATCACACATTGCAACAAACAAAATAATAGATTCATGATGTTCTGTTTCATTGCAACAAAACAGAACACGTGTCCTTGGAATGTATGAACTATCATTTCAAATGAGACTGAAACATTGTTCCCACTTACCTACTGATATAGTCCAAACAGCAATTATTTTCAGAAATGCCTTCGTTCTGGAATTGAAGCGGCTATGATGGATGGGGTTCTGGATGGCGACGTAGCGGTCCAGCGAGATGGCACAGAGGTGCATGATGGAGGCCGTGGAGAAGAGCACATCCAGGTAAATCCAGATTGCACAGAGCTTGCTAGGCAGAGGCCACTGGTAACCTAGGATGCAGAAGCTTAGTGTCAGTAAGCGGCCTTATGCTGCCTCTGGCTTGTGGATTCTCTCCTACTGCAACAGTTTCCATCCTGGGGAAAGGCATAAGAGGCAGCAAAGGGCAACATAAGATATTTTCAATATTTCAAAAAGCCTAACAACAACTGTGGTTAACTACAATACAGTTTCACTGGCTGATGAACACAGGTTTGAACATTTCTTTTGGCTGGAACTGTCAGGTTGTTGGGGTAAACAGGTTCTCTTTAGTGTTTCTTTCACTCTGCTCTGCCTAACAAAACATATCTTTTTGGTTTGTTTTCAAATTACTTAGGTCCTGAGTTATGACATATTTTGGGCTCCTCTACGAAGCACCTCACAGTATACAGTCCTTACTTATTCACACATCTTTCACACATTTCCTATTCCCTGTGGCTAGGCCCATCCCTTCGTCATTATTATAATTGCTCAGTCTTTCCCCGTGATGGCATTTAGTAGTCCCTCAATAAATGCTATTGGCGTGAAGGAATAAATGACTAAAATCCAGAATGAGAATAAGTCTTTACTTTTAAAAATGAAACATAATTACCTAATAATGCTTTAGGGTTTAAACTCAAATTTGGGGCTTATAGAGGTGAGGATGAAGACAATGGTGAAGAAAAGCATGGTGTTTCTGTCCTGAGAATTGTTTCAGGGGTGCTGATGCTGCTGGTCCAGGGACCCCACTTTGCCAACCAATGTTTAGGGCAGTGGTTCTCATTCCTGGCCGTACATTAGAGTCAGCTGGAGAATTTTAGAGAAGTCCTGATGTCTAGGAGGGTGGGTCCCAAACACTGTTCTAAAGCTCTCCAGACGATTCCACTGGGAGGACCCCTGAAGGAAGTCACCAGCTGTATTAGAGAGATAGGATATGCTTTATGGACATAAGCAAAGTGTCCTATATTTTTAAAAAAATTTTTTGAGGGGGACCAAATGGTTATATAAACTTAATTAATTTTGATAACAGTATAAGCAATGGTGTTAGATCTGTGTGCATGTGAGAAGGAAAATTATAAAGACCACCTTTTCTTTACAATATTCCAGACCCACAAAGCTGAACAAACTCTCCATTTCAAACATACTCTCTCTACCAAAATGCCACCACAGGTATTCAGAAAAGGATATAAGCCTAATTTAGTGCCTTTCACACGGATTATTTGCAAAGAGTTTCAGCAAAGACTAGAGCCTTTTCCTTAGCAGCGCCTGGGGGAAGGCATGCTCCGCCTGGTCGGAACTGATGTTGGCTCTTAAAGAAGTGTTCTCTGCTAGGAGGCAGCCCCAGCCTTAGGCCGGGTTTCCGCAGTAGGGATAAGGAGGGGGCATTTCCTCCCCCTGCGGAGTTCGTGAGGACAGACCAGGGAGGAGCTCAACTCGGGGCGGGAAATGGCTACACGCTGAGCGGCTGTCGCTAGGGGGCGCACTTGCAACCCAGAGCCTGAGACGCCCAGCAGGTCCCAGCTTCCTAAGGTGGCTGGCTGGTGCCTCCTCTCCCCCCTCAACCCCCCACCCCTCCTCGGGGTCATTCTCACCCTGCCTCTGCGGTGGTTTTGGTTCCCGGACTGGTCGGCCCTGTGGATAGTCACCCATTACTGGAGTTTGCCTCTGAGCAGGGTGGGGTTTTAGGAAGCGAGGACCTCTCCAGTATATCTGGGAAATGACAGGCGAATTTAATGAAATGATCTGGTGGTGACGTTCCAGTGGTCAAGTAGGCTGTTTTGTAATGAGCATTACCCACCATGTGCAAACCTGAGCCTGCTCTCCTTTGCTCACCTCCCTCCTTCCCACTCCTCAGGACTGGACTGATATATTTTAGCCCTAAGACTTGGCCAGAAAATACCCTCTTAAAGACAGCACTCAACTTGTTTCTAGCTCTGGATGACTGCTGATGTGCCTGTGTCAGCAGTCTTAATTCATTCTCTCTCTCTCTCTCTCTCTCTCTCTCTCTCTCTCTCTCTCTCTCTTCAAAATCTGGCTGCATTATTTACAATTTGGAAAGAACATCACATTCTACCCCCAGCTAAAGCCGCCCCAGTGTTTGCTGACTTGCTGAGAGGTTTGACTCTTTCAAACTCTGTTGAGAAGAAAGCAAGATTAACCTCTTTCCATTTGTTTTCCACCCTCCTCCACACCAGACTGGAGGAGTTTCTGCATATGCATTTTTAAAGGCACCCTTCCAAATTAGCTTCCCTGGGCAGGGAACAATGAAAATTGGAGTAATTCATTTATTCTAATGGAGACTCTGCATATTTTAACATTAAACCCCACTGCACCACTAATGTTCTCTCTGCAAATGTTCCCAGGTAATTGGGAAGGTTTTACCACTCCATTAGAGGTGCTGAAAACTATGACAAAGATAGAACTGTCCTGTTTTAAAGGCTGGAATATTTGAGAATATAAAGGAGTGAAAATCAAGTAGGTTCAGAATGACAGGTAAGTTATTGCTTTATGACTGTATTGGGGCATTTATAATAATTTCTACATAAAATGTATGAGTTTCAAAGCACAGAACTCTTTAAGGATCACAGATAATAGATTGTCTGATTTTTAAAAATACGTAAACCCCATTTAAGAGTAAAGTTTAAGTAACTTGTTTATTAACAAAGCCTCGTGTTTATTTTGTCCCTTGAGTCCTGGCTCATCTGCTAATGACATGCACATGCTCTTTATTACTAGTGTGGGTACAACTGGGAAACCAACGCCACTCACCATAGAGGATGGTTAACATGGACACGGGCATGACAAGGAAACCCAGCAGCATATCAGCTATGGCAAGTGACATCAGGAAATAGTTGGTGGCATTCTGCAGCTTTTTCTCTAGGGACACTGCCATGATGACGAGTATGTTTCCAGCAATAGTTAGAATAATCACTACAGCTGTCAACAAAGCAGACCAGTTTTTTTCCTGGAGATGAAGTAAGGAGAAGCATGGTGGTGAGAGACAGCCCTCACAGGAAAGGTTGGTTCGATTTTCTGAGTCCACTGTCCAATTAAATGCATCTGAAGTGTTAGCTTCTCCAGAGTTAAAGTCATTATTGTAGAGCCTTGTGCCATCATTTCGTTGCATTAAGGAGTTTGTACTTGAGCTCAAAGAAGTGTTTTCTTCACAAAGAACATCCATTTCTAAGCTGGAACTTGTAGTAGATGAAGTGTAGAAAAATTAACAAGTTATATGTTCTGCTCACCATCCATTTTTGTGTCCCCACACTCTGTCACACTGATGCTGGTGTACATTCTGGGCTCCTTGGTTGGCTTTTTTCCTGCCATTATTGCAACAGTAGTTAAAGAACGGCAGTAGCTCTTTCTTTATATTCCCTTCCTTCACAATTTTAGTAGAGTCCTCTGTTTGGTTTCATTTTTTTCCTCCAAAGCAAGGTCAAAAAGGCATAATGAACTTTAAACATAGAGGTTGCAGAGTTTTGAGCATTCGGGGAGAAAAATGTGGTCCTGGCCAAAAAAGAAAAGTTTTGTAACTACCAGGAATCTCGCTGATCTCTCTCTCATTCTGTTGGTTATGCTGATCACACTAGGTTAGCCACAGCAGTGTTAAAACAGCATGCAAGCCAAAACAGCAGGTTGCATGCCTTCTATGTTCAGAAAGTCAATTAAAAAAAACATCTAGTGTTAATCCCATAGTAATTGAATGTGCTTTGGATTATAGTTTTCATTCAGTCTTAGGCTGAATTGCCAAAGCTGCTTTCGGAAATTCAGCTTATATTATGCTGCTTAGTTAATAAAAGAAAAAAAAATCTTAAGCAAAGATTAACAACTTTCCACATTAGAAATTCTCATTGTGAGATGATTAAATTTTAGCTAAGCATAATTTCAAGCCCAAAAGAAAATTACACAGCAATAACATATAGTATGAGAATATGAGAACTTACATTTGTCTTCAGAGTCCACACATTAGACACACTGCTGTTCTGCATCTCTCATAATCATCACACTGGTAGAGAGTCCCTTGAGCTTCCACCAGCATAATATGATAGTAATTTGATTTCTGTTTTGCCGATTTAAAAAACTGCATCTAAGGGTCAAGCCAGTTCCAGCACTGCGAGGTCCCTGTTGGCTTCCTCTGTCCTCGCTTGGCAGGGTCACTCCCTCCCCAGGCAGCTTGCCTCAGCGAGGCACACATTTAGAAATCATTCACAAGCCCCTCTCGAAGTCACACAAAAGAAATCCACAGCAAAGTAGGAAGAGCTGCCTGCACTGAGGGACACGTGGTTTCCACGGGAATGGACTAGCTAGCTCTCAGGCTGTCTCCTCCATGTCGTCAGACCTCCCTCTGTCTGTGTGTCATAAACTGCAAGGTAGCAGCAGCCAGGAGGGCGGAACAAACAGGCTGTTTTTCTCTTTGCGCTATATGTTAACATTGGGAAGTTTTCCTTTGCTTTAAAAAGAGAGAAACTGAAGAAATGGCCTTTTGTACAGATTGCTCAGGCAGGTAAGCTGCACTGAGATATTTATTAGGGTGTCAGGGTGAGGAGAGAACATAAATAAGGCTAGAAAATGGTGTATTCTGGGAAAGTGTTCCCTGTAAGCAAGGCACTTCCATTCAAAGCCTACAGTGCCCGTGCCTGAAGTGAATTACTCACACTGGTGACTTGAGCTCCGAGTAGTCAAGCAGATCTTGGCAGATAACTCGGAAACTGTTAGTACTATTTTAATTTATTATTAAATACATACACCATTTAACTAGATTAATTTTACACCTAGAAATATACCACCTAGAAATAACTCAAAGCTTGAAAGAGAATAATTTGCTTGTTCAGAAATAACACTAAAGACAGCCGTTTTAATTGGTTTTTAAATAAGGTAGATATATGTATGCATGGATGAGTATACACACACAGGCACACACACACACACACATACAAGAGTATATTAAAGATTGTGAAGAAATTTGTTTATATTTATCTTTCCCACTCCCCTGCCTTCCACAGAACACTCATTGAAGGACACTTTTGTTTGTTTAATGAATATAAAATTTAACTCAATTTAAAATGTAAATATTGTAAGTATTGAGTTTGAATTTTGAAAAATATACACTTGTAAAACCATTACCCAAACCATTCCCTCAAGCCCCCTTTTGATCTTCACTTAAATGGAAATATGTAGTATAAGCTCCTTTTGTGTCTGGCTACTTTTGTTCAGCAGCATTCATTATGCTGAGATTCATTCTGTCGCTGTGAGTAACTGGTTTTTTAATGAATTGTAGTCTGAGAAACTATTAAGTGACCTGGATTTTTGGAAAATCAATCATTTATTTATTTTTTTATTGTTCAAAAAACATAGACTGGATCCTTGTTTTGTCTGTCCTTTTTTGGCTTCTTAACTTTTCTTTTTTAAAAATATATTTTTATTGTTTCAGAGAGGAAAGGAAAGGTAGAAAGAGAAAGAAACATCAATGATGAGAGAGAATCATTGATCAGCTGCCTCCTGCATGCCCCCTACTGGGGATCGAGCCCGCAATCCAGGCATGTACCCTGCCTGGACTCAAACTGAGATCTCCTGGTTCATAGGTCGATGCTCAACCACTGAGCCACACCAGCTGGGCAACTTTTCTTTTTTTAATTATCAAATCTATCGGGGTGGCATTCGTTAATAATTCACATTTCAGATGGGGGTTTCTATGTTACAAGATCTGTGTATTGCACTGTGTGCCCACCACCCAAAGTCAAACCTTAACTTTTTAAGACAGAGCAAACCTTAATGTTCACTTAATTGATTGGTTTTGCTCTGAATTGGCAGCATCAAATTCTTTTACTCCATGTTCTTTCTTAAAAATATGTCCCTGAGCTTTCTGCTACCCAAATCTTACTGATGGTTTGAGAATGAGAACAGATTTTCACAGAAAATTTTCTGAATGATATGTAATCCATCACTTTCTTTGGATGCTCCAATTCTCAGGTCTGGAACAACCCACTGACCTTGGAAAACAATGTCTTGAATTGCCTTCTGTTATGCCATTGGCTGTCAAAAGAAACAGCTCCTTGAAATTAGCTAATGATTCTTATCTGCCATTCAATTTTCTCACACTTGTGTTTCATGTAACAATACTCATAAATTTAAAGATAAGTATTGAATGCTGTGTCAAGGACTATTTATTTATTAAAATTTATCTTTATTGTTGAAAGTATTACAGATATTCCCTTTCTCCCCTTCACCGCACTATTGACTGTGTTCATGGATTATGCATATATGGGTATAAATTCTTTGATTAATCTCTTTTAATTACTAACTATGAAGATAGACAAGGTTCCTGCCTTAAATAAGTTACTTAAAAATGGTGGTAATAAACATGAGTATTAGGGAAGAGGTATAAACTTAGTAGTCAATGGCATGTTAATGGTATTTAGAGATAGAGAAGGGAACAGTTCTGAGGCATGAGCCCGGGGTTACTCCAGTATTTTGAGGTCAGGAAGGTGTGGAGGAATCAGTCAAGCAGATTGAGAAGGAGCACCCAGTGGGTACAGAGGGATGCAAACACTGGTATTCCAGAAGTCAGGTGAAGAAAGACTTCAAAAGGGGGAGACTGCCAAACTAGGCCAAATGTTCCTGATTGAAGAAAAAGCCCAACTAAGTGAGAAATAAAGATAAGAGGCAAAGAGGTGTTTTGTGTGTTTTTTTAAATAAGATAAACTATAACATGCTTTTGTGATAATGGGAATGATCCAGTAGAAAGAGGAAAATTGACAATATAATAAAGGCAGGAATGAAAATAAAGAAATTGGTTAATAGATATTACAATTGCTCAAATAAGAGGTGGTGAGAGATCAGACAGGGGCTATGATAGTGGAAATGGAGAGAAGTTCACAGATGTATTTTAGAAATAAAAGTACCAAGACTTGCTGATTTATTTGGAGTGGGGTAATAGGAGTAGAAGGTTGGTTGGTGAGGGAATAAAGAAAGGAATCTAAGATCAAGAATCACCTTTAGGTTTTTGGATTGAACAACTGGGCAGATCATAATGTAATTCATAGAAATGGAGGAAGACTGAACAGTTGGGTCTTAGGGGGCAAAATCAATAATTCTGTCATGGATATTCTAATTTTACTATTTTAGTTAGAATTAAGTTTAGCTGAATGCATCAACAATTCCACGATAACAGAGTATTAAACAACAGAGAACATTTTTCCTTTCTCAATGAAGTCTGCAGGTCCAGAGCTGACATGAGACTTTCATGATCATCAGGAACTTAGGCTCTTTCTATCTAGTTACTCTGCTATCCTTATTGTGAAACTTTGTGGCGTTAGATGGATGCTTGACCTGAAGATATCTTGTTCACATCCCAGCCAGCATAAAGGAGAAAGATGAAGTTTCCCCCAGTTCCCTCCAGTGTCACACATGACAGTTTTGCATATTCCTGTGGGCCAAACTTGTCACTCAAGCTGCAAGGGAAGGGGAAGAAACTTTATTCCATCTGCCTGTGCATTCAGCTGTAGATCAGGGATTCTATTACTAAGTAAGAAAGGAAGAATGGGAATTGGGAGGCAATTAGGAGACTCTCACATAGACATCCAAGAGAAATTATATAAAGGCAGTTCGATCAGGAGCTACAGAATCAGTTACAGCAAGGGGTATACATTTTGGAGTCATCAACCTTTACAGATAGTATTTAAAATTGTGTGCTTTAGTTTTCTGGTCCTGTAATAAGAAGTTACTATAAACTTAGTGGCTTAAAACAACAAATATTTATTATCTTACAGATTTGTTTCTTATAAATCTGACATAGGCCAAGATCAAAGTGTTGGCAAGGCTATGTTCCTGTTGGAGAAGCTTAGACCTAATTTTCTTTCTGTTTCTAAACATCAACTGTATTCCTTAGCCTGTGGCCCCTTCCTTCATCTTCAAAGTCATAAACTATAAGTTGAGTTCTTCTCATACTGCCAACTGTCTGTGAGAAAGGTTCTCAACTTTTAAGAACTTATGTGATTATATTGGGCTCACTTAGAAAATCCAGGCTGATCTCCATCTCAGGTCCTTAATCTTAATCACATCTGTAATGTCTTGCTTATCATTTAAGGTAACATATTTACAGGTTTAAGACATGGGCATCTTGGGGGGGTCATTATTCTACAAATTCATAGTACTTTAAAAAGCAAAGGGTATAATAGAGGAGAACAGAGGACCTGGGCCTAGTATGTCAACATTTATATTTTAAATTTAAAAGGTTTGAAATAGGTGAGAT